TATTTCCCTCTCCGGGTTCTCCAATCTGCCTCTTACAAGGGTGGAGGAGCCCTCTTTATAGTGGCTCCTCCTCTACTGACTTAAAGGCTCATGATGGCCGACTTAAAGATTACATTCAATGCGCCGAGCCGTTGGGCGACGTTACGGACTCTGCCAACGGCTCTCTCTGGCTAGTAACTGGCGGACCGAGTCCGACTTTTAATGCCTCAACGGCTCCTTGCCTTGACTGCTCTGAAGGCTCCCTCAACGGCTTTCCGGACCGAGTCTTCCCCTGGGCCGGGCCTGGACCGACTCCTCGTCCCCGTTTGGCATTGGGCCGTCCTTCCGGGCTCTGAGCTGGGCCTCCCTCTTTGGACCTGGGCCGAGTCCTGGACTCGGCCCATGCATTCTTTCTGGGCCTCTTTTCTTGGGCCGGGGTTCTCACCCCATCAGGGAGTTTCCAATTTTAGTCCACCTTATTTTTTTTTGCCACTTTATAACTACTATTATTGAATGTGTTACACTTTTAGTCCCACCATTAGTATTTCCATCAAGATGCCGTGTAATCTAGGGGTATTTTGACCTTTCTTTTCATCCATGTTTGACTAAAGAAATGAGAACATTAAACCTAAAACCTAAGAAACCTCGCCGGTCCATGTTGGAACGAACGAAACGATGTAGCTTTGACTTCCCATTCTTATTGTTCGAAGAGCCATCTTCGAATATCGGAGTACGAGGACGAAGCGCCTGGATTAAAAGAGAAGAGACAAACATAAAAGACCAAAATACCCTCTGATTATACGGCCTCTTGATGAAAATATTAACGGTGGACTAAAAGTGAAACACATTCAATAACAGTGATTGTAAAGTGGCAAAAAATTAAAGTAGATTGAAGTTGGAAACGCCCGTAGAACCAAAAATGAAATTTACTCAAAAAAACAGATATAAAATAAATAAAATCTTGCGTGTTTAACAAAATAGTATATTAGTATTCCGTAGTACAGTAATTAGAAAGAACTAAAAAAAAAAAAAAATTACAAATAATGTTTCGATGGGGAAACAGTAAAAACACAGGTAGTTACAGGGGTATAAAGGGGTTTTCACTTTTGATCACGGCGGCTGATGAGACGCGATGCAGACGGAGAGGGCAAGCTCGGCTTCACGGCACTGGTGGCGCTTGAGGGCGGTGCCGCCGCTGGAACAGAGGCTGCGGACGGCGTCCGACTCGTCGGGACAAGCCTCTGCCACAAGACACTGGGCCAGCGATCGGTTCAGGTGGCGGCACGCTATATCGCGGTCCAGGCTCCCCCGTATGCGGCGGTGGCAATCCGTTAAGGCTTTCAATAGCTGATCGCATTTTTTTAGGTTAAATCCGCTGGCCGGCGATGCTGAGCCTGAGCCACCGGCTGCGAACGACATGGCGGATTGGGAGAATTTTTAACACTTTCTGTTCTAATGCTCCAAACAACACAGACATTCACGAGATCCCTTCTTCAGCTTTCCCTTTTATTTTTTCTTTTGCAATCATAAAGTCGATAGACATAATTAAACACAAAAAGTTATTTATGACTAAATTAAGTATTAATTCTGATAATAACTTTTTTTATCAAACTAATAAAAAGAGTTAATTTCATTTTTGGTTTTAGATTTTTATGTGACAATCTACTTTTAGTCTTTTTTTTTTTAATTAAAATATTATCTTTTAATCTTAGTATTATTTTTACATTACCAATTTTGATCATCTATCAAAAAATTTATTGAAATTTAGTTAAATACAAGTACATTTTGATTAGAAATGTCAAATGGGCCAACCCGCTAAGTTTTGGACTAGCCCTACAGGATTTGTGGACTTGTTGGCTTGGGCTAAATGATTTTTTATTTTTTATTTTTGAGTTGAGTTGACCCTAACCCTACATCGAGCGCAAATTATGCTGTGCAACCGAATGCACCTTGCAAGGTGCATACGGTTGCAAAACGGCGCCGTTTTGGTTAAAAAAACGCGCGTCCCACTTAAAGAAGAAATCAGGTTCGATTCCCGGCAATAGCATTTTTATATATCCAGAAATTCATAACTATATATCCATAATTTCATAACTATATATCCACAATTTCATAACTATATATCCACAGTGAATGAATGAAGTAAAAATCCACAATGAATGAATGAATGAAGTAAAAATCCACAATGAATGAATGAATGAAGTAAAAATCCACAATGAATGAATGAATGAAGTAAAAATCCACAATGAATGAACTAAATATCCACAATATATGATTGAACTAAATATCCACAATGAATGAACTAAATATCCATAATTTCATAACTATATAACCACAATTTCATAACTATATATCCATAATTTCATAACTATATATCCACAGTGAATGAATGAAGTAAAAATCCACAATGAATGAATGAATGAGGTAAAAATCCACAATGAATGAATGAATGAAGTAAAAATCCACAATGAATGAACTAAATATCAACAATATATGATTGAACTAAATATCCACAACGAATGAACTAAATATCCATAATTTCATAACTATATAACCACAATTTCATAACTATATATCCACAATTTCATAACTATATATCCACAATAATGCTATTACTGAGAGTCGAACCTGATTTTTTTTTTTTAAGTGGGACGCGCGTTTTTAATCAAAACGACGTCGTTTTGAACCGTATGCACCATGCGCATGGTACATTCGGTTGCACAGCATAACTATTGCTACATCGAGTTGTTGGGCTAATCCAACGGGCTAAATCACTAAACAAACATTCTATTACAAATAGAGTAGGTTCACACACACACACTATATATATAATGTGTGTGCAGTATATATATATATATATATATATATATATATATATATATATATATATATATATATAGTCTGTGTGTGTGTACAGTGTGTGTATATACAGTGTGTGTATATAATGTTCGTAGTGTATAAAAGTACATTATTTTATATATATTATCAAATAATGTACCTTCAATACACAAATAATGTACATTTAGTATATTAAATATGTACTCTATATTCATGGTCCAAACAAGTTGTATAGACTATGGTCCATCCAATAATTATTGGATATTACACGGGCCAGCTCAACAATTCATGAGTTGGCGCAACTCAATACAATAACCCAATAGGGCCAACCCAATAAGCTTACTTTTTTATTGGATTGATCTTTTTGGATTTTAGCCCTGCAATTTTTAGGGCTTATTGGGCCAGCCCATTTGTTCAGCGCTAAATTGACATCCCTAATTTTGATCTTCAATTATGATTTTTTTTAATAAAATAAACATAAAAATATAATAAGTCAATGCACTTTGTATTAAAAAGATCAAAATATCATTCTATTTAACAAAATTTCAACGATTTTGTTGATAGAGGACTAAAATTGGTCATGTCACAATAGGATCAAAATAGGATGTTCTAATAAAAAAAGACTAAAAGTAGACTGCCACCTATAAATCTAGGACCAAGAATGAAATTAACTCCTAATAAAAATATAAAATTAGTAAAACCCTGTAAACTTTTCCAAAATCTAGGTTTATTTTTGTTTTGAGTTCTACTACATACACTCCTAAAATTATACTTCATTTATACTCTCTAAAATGACAAATCAGAATTAGTTATTTTATCATGTATATCCACCAAAAAAACATTTACATAAAAAACATGTGAAAGAAAATACAAATTAAGAGTTTAACCTGCGGATTTCTAGAGACGCAAATCTAGAAAGATGCTAGGGGATGCCTTCTGTCGAGGGGATTAGGTTCCTTTTTTGTTGTTTTGCTTTCTGGGGCGTAGCCTTCCTTAGTACCCAAAAAAGATAAAAATAAATCTTAGTAAAAGTACAAGAGTGTATTTTACTATCCTTGAAATTATTCTAGTCCGTTTACATATCAACCACTAATAATTAATAATTTTTTTACTACATTTTCCCAAAAAATAAAAATAAAATTTTAATATATGCATTCTCAAATCTTACTCCCTCAAATTCACTCTATAATGTGACGAGCATTAATAAACTATTTTCATCATATAGACTCGGCTTAAATGTCTTAGGACAAAGGAATTTAAACATTATTCCTCGTTAGACAAATAAATCAGTTAAGTAATTTTTGTTTTGTTTTTTTTTTTTAATCAATCCTCCTCTTATGGGTTGTTTGGTAGACATGAATTGCATTGCAATTCCACCATAATTCTTTAGCCATTCCAATACAATGTTTTGTTGGAAGAATTACGACTCCCTCTTTTTGTTGAATTGCAATTCATGGAAGTACCAGAGTACTGTCAAAGTGGGCCGATCCGCCCCACGCGGGTTGGCGGCCCCGTGAGCCGGCGTGTGATTTTTTTTTTTTTTTTTTTTTTTTGTTGAATTTAAAGTTCAAAAAAATATGCAAAATCTACAAATACTAACATTGAATTTGCCATCCAATTTTAAAGTCTAACAAAAATTAATATTAATTCAAATTTCAAGAAAATAAGTAAAGTCTACAAATAATATTAATTTTTGTGTTTACAAATTAAAATAAAATTACATTAAAAAATAAAAATAAATAAATAAATATATATATATATATATATAGGGCTTGACCCACAACCCGCGCGGGCCGCGAGTCTTAGCGGGCTATCTTTTTTGCGGCCCTAACGCACCCCACAGTAAGGCGGGTGCGAGCCAACTCGCGGGTCTCGATCCACTTTGACAGTAAGTACTATGGCCCCATGAATTGCAATTCAATAGTTGTAGAAAAAGAAAAAATAGATGAAATGACGTTACTACCTTTGGTTGTTATTACTATTATTATTATTACATAAGGGTATTTTAGTCTTTATACCATTTCTTTCCTTCTCAATTCCAATAATTATATTCTTCAGTTCTTCCCTATTTGAATTCCTACTTTATTTCCCCTTATTCTTTTTCCACCAAATTACAATTCCTTTTCCTCATAATTCTTTCCTTCCAACCAAACACAAGAATGCTAAGAAAAAAAAGAAGAAAATGTGTAAACTTTGTGGGATATTTCCTTGCATAAATAAACCAATATAAAAGATTCATATAATAGAACCATAATAATGCCTATACAGAATTGAAGCACAATACAGTGAATCGCATTGAGCAGAGCATAATACTGAATAAAATGTCTGCAATTTCCCTATGAGAGAGAGATCATTTACAGACTCTTAAACTGCTGAAATATCATCACATATCACAGTCCAATTGACTCCAATGCAGTTATGGTGGATCCATACAATTACAGGTACCCCTACCTACTTCCCTTCCAAATAATGCTTCTCATGCATATTATACATCTTACGCGATTTACAGAATAACAGAGCGGGATATGGTACGATGAGAATGCAGTTCGATCTCCAAAAAATTTGCTTGAGAAATCATGCCTGGGGTTCATTATGCTTCCTTCGTTTCGGCCCAGGTTCGCCCAGCTGCAGAGACACGGAAATTTGATCGTCCATCGCGTTTCTGATCACGCAGAGGTTGATTCGTTCGGTGCTTTCCCCTTGTTTCTTCCCTCGGGAAAATAGGGACGTGGCGGAGCCATTCGGAGCGTGCCGGTCGGATTCACTTTCTCCCCGGGGAATGTGGAATTCTTTGTGCCGGCCCAGATGAAGGTCACCGTCAATGGGGACTTGTTGGATGTTTAGATTAAGCGGCTCCAAGTTTACCCCGATAGAACCAATTCCCCCTTGCGATGCAGCCGTCTGATCTTTTAACGCATCTATTTTGATCAACGGGAGAAAAAATTCAGAAAAAAGGAAACGGTGAAATGAAACAAGACGAGGATGAGGGAAACGGACCTTGAAGACCTTGATCGGATGTTATGAGATCGAGTTCCAAGAGATCGAGGAGACGGCCCAAGTCCACTCCACTCGTCCAATTCTCAGGAGGTTGACCAGCTTTCAGTTTTAGCCGCCCTCGATTAGCCGTGCCGCCCCAGATGATCCCAACAGGTTGTGGCTTCTCTCCGTTTTTGCGAGTTAAAAGAATGAGACTACCACTATCACCTTCTAGATCAAACGTCTGTTGGTTCTCACCAACAACGAGGAAGTCGGTGAAGAAACATATTTCTTTTTCGTCGTTGTATTCTAGGGCATACGCCATTACGGTCCCGGTAGTCAACCCCGAGCTCCTTCCAACTTTCACCACTTGCCTGCCGATGAGGCTGGCAATGGGAGACTGCAAGTCTATTTTATACACATCGCCTATTTCACCTACGCCTCTCACGGATGTAGTTACGTTGGACATGTCAAAATCTTCGGCAAAAGGAATAAAAGCTCCATCTGCTCGAACATATGTTTCTGTGGAACACAAGACATGCATGAATATCAAAACCTCATCAGAAAACCTTTTTTTTAAGGTTAAGTCATCCAGGCAATTAAGACAGACCAGAAAGTGTTGCTTTCTTATTATGTTCACTAATCGGATAATAAGCTTGGAGGGTGATAGATTTTCTATTTAGGATACGGTGGAAAACAAATGATTTTTCAAAACCTCAAATTAGACACTTCTACTGAATCTAATTTTGTGGTCGCTTTCTAATTATACATTGACAGTTCACAATCAAGATTCAAGAGACAACTTCTTAGCAATTGACACGGAGATGGGTAGGGAGAGAAAGATCCAACTTTTGGGTGGTTAAAGTTACGAGATTAAGAAGAGAAGAGAAATTAAAGAATGGACACAGTTAGTAGGGCATTTAACAAATTGGCTCACAAGTTTTTTTTTTTTTTTTTTTTTTTGTCAGACCACGAGGTGTCCTGAGCAGACCCTAACTGTAGGAGGCACCTTTAAGCCCGTATCATACTCAGACTAATCCCCGTTCGCACCGGACCGGCCCAATTAAGGGGCAAGTGCTGGCCAGATTGGTTTTTCCATACGAGAGGGGGTTCGAACTCCCGACCTCTCTTAAGGGACGAGAATGCACGGCCACTCACGCCAACCAAGCTAGTTACTCACAAGGGTATATTATTGAATGGCATTTCAGAGTTCACACATTCCTAAAACTAGGACTTTCTCTCCTAAAATAAGGGAGATCCCTTCTATCCCAAAATTTAAAAATTAAAACTTTCGAAATTCCTTTACCTGGGTTTTTTCCGGCAAAGATTCCGTACCAAAGATCATCAGTTATAAACGAGGTTGCTCTCTCCACGGCACCCAAATACACGCTAGGTCCAAGGTTTGGTGGCAAGGGATGAAACATTTTCTGGCTCGGATAATCCAAATTGACAGCAACATGGCGATTAGTAAGAAAACCAACTTGGCGGCTTCCTGTCTGGCTTCTTACAATAGCACCCAAGGTTCCATAAGTCTCTTGATTTGCCACCTAGCAGCGTATACAATGGTCAAGTTTATCAAGACAACATTTTCGAGAATATAAATCAAAACAAATCCCCCGAGCAATTACCTGGGACCCAGAACCAATGCACGAATCGCTTCCACGCAGGCCATCAGCAAGTTCTGTGTACAATTGTTCCTTTGGTGTTGCTGCAGGTGCACCATAGTATGAGAATTCAACAACGTCAATATCACACCATATGCCCCCTGGTCCCTACTCAAATAAGTATTCAATATACTCAACCCTCAAAGCATACACAAAGGATGGATTATTTCAACTCTTTTTAACACACACAAAATAAAATTCTATATGCATTCTAATGTTATCTAATCTACCGAGGCTAAATCCACATGAAACAAGGAACATCCATATAATATATAATTAACATTGTTAAGAGTCTGACATTGAAAATATATGGGTTTATAAGGCCATCGGTTAGATTAGCAAATTGATCAGATTATCTTTTAGTGTGATTTGGCACATACTTATAACATGTTGAGTGACATTGGCCCAATCATAGATTATAACATGTTGAGTGACATTGGCCCAATCTTAGATTATAACATGGTATCAGAGCATTTTCGATGCACTTTGTGAGTGCAGTTCCAGTTGAGTGATCTTAGCCCAATCTTAGATTATAAGAATGAAAACCTTTATTCATCAGCACTATTTTTCAAAAATGCAATCATGTTATTATAGTAGTATTACAAAAGCGGAGACAGAACCAGATAGCTTATACCTGAAGAGCAGCTGGTAGACATTGAAGACGACTGAGCCATTGTCTATGGAGTTTTCTGGCAACAAAGACGAGAATAGCAGGTATATCAGTCAAAACGCCTTTCCTGATGCGAAATCCAACCGCAGTGCCAAGACTAAACTGGCGTAACATATGGCTATGAAATGCCCTGATGGTCATAAGTTCAAGCAAGGTTGAAGCTCGCTGGCCCGACGGAAGCCTCCCAATAGTCTCCGGTAAAACCCCCTTCTGAAGGTTTCCAAAGTAATTCTCTCTGTCCTCGGCTACATCTAACCTGCTCGGCCACGAAAAGTAAGCTGCATTGCTCTCGTAGAGTTGACCACCCGAGGCAAAAATTTGTAGCGGTGGAGAGCTTGACGAAAACTGATTGCAACAATTTCTCTCCAGATCCAACAATGTTTCCTCCGATTGCTTAGATCTAGAGTTGAACCTTAAATCAATCCCCGCCCTGTCCATCTTCTAGAACCAACAGAAACTTTATGTTAGAACAACAAAACAGCATATCATTCCTTCTATAGCTCGGGATTTTACTTCTTAAACAATAACACCACTCGTAATAACGCTTGACAAAGAAAATTACATCCTATAAATGATCCAGAAAAAACCAATCCTGAACATCATAATACAATGAAGATAGATTATACAATATAATTGGTTCTCACCATATGCAATCAAGAAGATGCACCAGGAATTTACAGAAACAGAACTTCTGGTCTCCATTGAATAAAACTGGAGCCTTTAACCATTGCTAAGAATCCAAGAAACATAGTTGAACAAAAGCAGCAATGTCCAAGAACCAATAAATATAGCTCCTTCAGGGGAGATTCAAGAGAGAAAAATGTGCAGTGGCAAATGAATGGGGCCCCGGATTGGACAAACTACAAACGAAGGTATGCCCAAGTACTGGATATTCTGAAATAAAAAGACAAGAAAGGCAACTGTTATACAAATCAATATAGATATATAAAAATAAAGATAAAACAAGGGAGCAATTCAGAGGCTGTCACAGTTTAAAACTATGAACTGAACAAAACCCAAATTAGAAATCAGCAATGGAGTTCAATCCCATCATACAAACACTAGCAATACTACGAACTGGGCAAAATTCATAACCCAAATCCCATAAAAAATGAATCTTTGAATGAAATTCACCGGAAAACTCACCAGTCGGCAATGGAGTTGTTGAGAGCCCCCCAGAGATTTTCATGCCCTAAGCAGGCAGGGATGGAGCTGTGAAGAAGACCCATTTGATCAATCAGTGAAAAATGGGTCTCTCGATCGTTAGGCCCATTATTGGCGGTCGGCAGTGAATCAAGAAACAGCCATTTTATATATGATTAAAAAAGTTTCTGTTAAGGATTTTGCCAGTGGTCTATTCTCCGGATCTTCTATAGTTTCATAATTAATAATAAAATAATTTCTTCTATAATTAATTGCGTTTTCTATGTCTAATTTTCTTTTCTTCTTTCTCCCTTTTCTGGTCTCACTTTCCAGTCTCGGCCCCTCACATTTGTCACCCCAGAATATGAGTGAGTGATAACTACTGCACCCACATAATAACCTTTTGATATGAGCACTGCCCATTCCCAATTGTGATTTTTTCAGATAAACATAACTTATGTGGAAGAGAGAGAAGAAATAAACTCCTCTGTAAAGTTGATTTGTCGTGAGGTATGTCAGGAGAGAAAAAAAAAAATGAGAATCGCAATTATGTGAGTGGACTCAACATACCGGGCCCAGTCGGGCTCGTGCAATGCAAGCGCACGCTGGCGCTTCAGTTCATTTTTTTTTGTGTCAGACTTTCGTATTTTTTCTCTTTTTTTCTTATTATTAGGCATCTTACAAATCACAAAAAGATTATTATTATTGGATGGAAAAATTTGAACTTAAAATTTTTTAAAAATATTTTAATTTAATTAAAAATGTAAACAGGATTATACATTTAATATTTATTCTAGACAAGCGGAGTAGTGACAAAAAATTATTATTTTAGGATTGGTAAATTGTGAAGAGTTGTGGGTCCAATCATTTAATGTGTGAGGTGGTGATAAGGTGATTGACTTTTCTACTCTGATGCATTGCCAGCTTTTTTGTCGATATTTGTATCACTGTTTTTAAATTTATGCTGACCGTGATTGTTCATTAAGATTTTGTACCTGAGAATTTTTTGAAATTGCAAAGTTTTTAGAGTGAGTAATAAAAATGGAGAAAGTATGTATGATCAGATATTATATATACTAATAGAGTTAATAATATTTAAAAATAAGTTTTTAAAATGAGTAATAGTATATTTATTTTTATTTTTTATTTCTTGCTAAGATGTCATATTTTGATTTTTTTTTTAAATTGGTTATTAATTTTATTTAATTATTTTTTTATTTAATAAAATTTGTATGGTAAAAATTTATGTGAGACTGTCTTACGGATTCTTGTCCGTGAGACAGTCGGGTTAAGATGAAATATAATACTAAATTAGAAATAAGATGTTTATTACTTATATGAAAAAATGTAATACTTTTAAAAAAAATATAATACTTTTACATTTTGATATAAAAGTATTACATTTTCTTTTATAAGTGCAACATTACTTATAAGGAAAAATATAATACTTTTGATGAAAAAAGTAATACTTTTACATCAAAATATAAAAGTATTACATTGTCATCAAAAGTATTATGTTTTCCTTTATAAACTAAGTAACAAATATTTTATTCATGATTTAGTATTACATTTGCATATTGACTCGACCTGGCTTAACCCGTCTCACACAAGTGTGACCCAATTTGTATATATTACGAGAATTATACTCCATAGAAATACATCTATTGTTTTTCTTTTGTAAGATATTTTCATCATTTCAATCAAAATAAAATATTATGTGTGCAATATACTAAACACATTTATAAAGAATGGAGTGGTTTGTAAAACGGGGGAAGAAAATAATGGAGAGATTTGCGAATGAAGGGAATAAAAAGGTTGTAGTCTTATTCTAAAAAAATATTACGAGTATTTGTAATTCATTTTCCACGTAATTTTCTCCCTCCAACCAAACGCCCTGTGAAAGTTAGTATTGACGCCCTTGAGAGAGTATTGATGCCATGACTAGTGCACTTGTAAAAAAGGACATAAAAAATCTTACCAAATTGTATTGCAATCTTTATAGCATGAATCAGGGTTGTCCTTAGGGTTGGGGTTCAACCTTGGAAGAATGAATTAGGATTCCAGTGCACTATGGACATTGGTTCATGTGTTTGTATTTTGTGTTATGACTTTTTATATCTTGCGTGATGAAATATTTTACTTTATGAGTATGAATTCTGCACATGGAACAAATTAGTAATTGTGTCTTATGTTATGAATTTTTGTGTCTTGTGTTGTGAAATTGTGCCTATGAACACAAATTATGTACATAAATCATATTTGAAAAATAAGTAAATATATAACATGTGTATGTGTCTTGTGTTATGATTTTTGTATCTTGTGTTATGAAATTATGTACCTTACGAGTATGAATTATGTACCTCATCTTTTCAATACAGCTATGTGTCTTGTGTTGTGATTTTTTGTGTTTTCTGTTATGAAATTTTGTACCTTAAGAGTGAATTATGTATCTAATTGTTTCAATCCATGGTCCATAATGATATATGGACACTAGTCTATGATATAAATTGTCATTGTGATGTGCATGGTTTCCTAGAGTGTGTTTGGAAACATGGAATTTTCAAGACCCAGTGTTTGGGTAAAGAGTGAAAAATGTGAGTCAAAGAAAACAAGTTCTGAAAAAATACTATCATTTTCTTGAAAAATAACCTCCCCTCACTTTTGGGAAGCCATTGTCGCAGCCGCCGCCACGACGTACCGCCATCACACCACCACCCCACCACTACCACCACCACCACCACTCCCACCACCGCCAGCGCCAACACCATACCACCGCCGCCAGCGCCAACACCATACCACCGCCGCCACTGCCACTACCACCACCACCACCATCACTACCACTACCACCACCACCATTTATATTATTATTATTATTATTATTATTATTATTATTATTATTATAAATGTTGTTGTATTCTAAATAAACAAAACAATTAAAATGTCTAATTATACAATTTTGTTCTTTTTCCAAAAAATAATCAAACACATGCACCAAAAAAGTTTTCAAAAATGCAAAAAGCACTAGAAATGAAAATGTCTGTCCCTTCAGGGACATTCGATAAAATTAAGACTAAAAATAAAAATAACTTATTTTTCAAAAAAATATTTTTCAAAAGTCATTTTTCTTGTTTTCAAAGTCAGCCTAAGTCACACATTCTTCACTAAAAGTGTCACTACTCTCTTTACACTACTCTCTTTTCATCTCATTTTAGACTTTAGTTTAATTAATAATGGTTGGTCTGGTCCTTAACGATTGTGTTAACTTCGTTAGTCAATTTAGATATTGGACTATTTCTTTTGTTCGTAGGTCTGCCAATTAGCTTGCCCATGTTTTCATTAAGGTATGCCCGCATGGGTAGCTCAACTGGTCATAGAGGTGAAACTTTGGAAGAATGACCAGGGATCGAGTCTCACCAGCGATAGTGTGGGAGCAACCCCTCAAAGTGAGAGGGGTTCCTTGTGCGCAGTGCGCACCGGTCTAGCCTCTGTGGTTCATATTCAGTCAAGTCACCATGAGAGTGTGGGGGGCCCTTAGGGTTGGGGTTCAGCCTTTTGGAAGAATATTTTCATTAAGGCAGTTGGTAATCAATCTAGTAGTCCTATATACTGGGATTCGTTTACCCCTTTGTGTATTTTGCATCTTCTTTATTAATATATTTCGTCGGTTAAGAAAAAACGTAAATTTTAATTTTAGTCTTCCATAATAATGATATATCCACATTTAATTCCATCATTTCAATTGGACCACTTTACATCTTTGATTTCAAATTTTTTGCCATATATACTTAGAACTAGGAAGTAAACCTAGCAACAAGAAAATAAAAATAAAACTACAAATGGTAAGATTAAATTTGGCAAAAAAAATTATAAAATATATTGAAACAAAAAGATACCATGTGCTCAAATTTAGAAAGTATAATACTTCGTATAGTCAAAAATTAAAATTGAAATTAACTCTAGCTTAGTATTAATATATAAAATTTATATATTTAAAAACTATATTCAATGTATAACTAAACACAGAAAAATGACATTTGTAATTTACTTTAAAAACCAAAGAAAAAAAAAAAGAACCATTAGTTTATATGATGGATTATAAACAACATAAAATAGGATAAAGAAAGCATTATATGTTGGGGACAACACACTCAAGTTGGTCAGACAGTTAGTTTGATAATCACGTACAAATGTTTCAAGTTCGATTCTTTATAGAAATTGACGATTAGTTTTCTTGGGAAAAAACCTTATCTGTTTTACTTATATTTTTGACATAACAATAAATTATTATTTCACTAATAGATCAAATATTTTTTTCCTCTTTAATTATTATTATTATTTTTTTTTTTGGTCCCCAATTAGTGAAAGATTATTACTAGAGTTTGAAACATTTTTCATTAGCAATAGCATTGATAGAAAAGTAGAGGGTAAAAACAGGCCCCATACTTATTTGCTCCCCCAAAGGTTGCACTACACAATCATTCATCAAGTAATTCATTTTCCACTTGTCAGCATTTGGGGGTGGGGGCCTTATCTGTACTCTTTCATATGCATGTATGCTCAAAATGCCATATATATCTTGATATTTTTCATTTCTGCACTGTGATGACAAGAAATTGGTCACCCAATATTGCATTCTGGACCTTTTTGATCATGCCAAGGAAAAGGCAAAAGAGCTGCATTATCATATTTTTTATTAAATCAATGGATGGATGTAACCACACCTTTTTTTAGTTTATGCATGGTGGTAAGTACCATTGTACCATACAAGTTGCAGCTTTAATTTGTTTGTATTTTTCATGAAATTCTTCTAATGTTATGATGGAACCCATTTCTTCTTTGATATTTGATGGGGTTATACGGATAAGCATGTTTGTTTTTCTCACCATATAACGGATTCTCTAGCTGACTTTTTGAGTGTTTGGCGACCATTCGAAGCGTCTAACAATCTCATCTCTCAGCAGTAACTCTACGAGCGTCATATATCAATCTATCCCATCTGTCTCAATCAACTCAATATAAATGCATGTGGCACGAACAACCTGATCGCCTAGTGCTTGGAGGTCACATGTTGTCCAATGACGAATTCTTTCCATATGTCCCCAAGGGATCGGATATCCTATAAAGGGTAGCACACAACTAGTGTGAGGATGTCGATCACATGTTGTCCAATGACGAATTCCTGTCATATTTCTTAAGGGGTATCCTATAAAGGCCAGCGCGCACCTCAGTAGAAGAGACATTTAAATTTGGAACTTTCTTAGTATTCTTGTTAGGTTCCCAACCTAGCTTAGAAAATCATTCATCAATATAA